ACAGGCATATTTATCGCTGTTGTAGCTGAATCTGGTTCCACTCACCGAATGACGACCGTCTGGAGACGATTTTATGATCACTTTAAATCCGTCCTCGTGTGTCGTTGTCACGGTTACACTGCGCTCACTGTCCGTTTCCTCCACATTACAGGTTTACTTTCGCTTTTGCTGTTTTCGCCTATTTTTCCACCTTATTTCTGCTCTGTCATGAACATCTTCATCTCTCCCGCCATCTACTTCCTTTCATTACACTTCCTGATACGTCACATTCTGTCCTCTCTTCTCTCTCTGCTGTGGTTTGATCGGAAATGTGACGTCATTCACGGGTAAAAGCGCAAAGGATTGTGGGTATGAGTGGCAAGCGATACTAGCGCACGGAGGCTTTCACATGAAAACAGTCACACAGCCATAAAAAGAAACACAAAGAATGGAGCAAGAAGCTGTTGTATTATTAACTGCAATAGCCGGTCGCATGACAGCCTCGGGAAGCCGACGGGTAAAGAGATCGTTTTTTATCGGATTACGTCGTTGAAGAGAAATTGTTTAAGCCATGTTTCCGAAGTAAGAAAAAAGACAAATAGATTGCGTTGGCCTGTACAGGAGATAAAGGAAAAAAATTAACAACAGCTGTGAAATGGAATAGTCCAAATCACCAAAGTAAACTGGACCTGGGCTTGTTGCAGGGATCTGAAGTTACTAAACATTTTGTGAGTATATGCACTAAAACTTAGGACCATATAATAAATAATAAATATGTGTTTGATGAAAGTTGGGCAGCACGCTAACGTCCTTACTCCACTCTGTATGCTCGTATGGGTCTGACCCTTTCAATCCTTTGATTTTTTCCTCGTAACTTTTTTTTTTGCCTTTTCGTCAAGTCTGTCTTCATACGGACCTGCCGAGTTCTCCGTTGTTTTGTACATAACTGTTTTGGGGCCAAATAAAATGCAAGTAGGGATTAAAACCACAGAATTAATGATTACCGGTGCTGGAAATGCTTGCGCTTGATGCAGTGTTTTGATTTTGTTGCCACTCGTACCCACAATGCAATGCGCGAAAGTCACGTGGTCTGTCAATCTCTATTAAACAAAAAAAATCTAGCATGACTGACTGGGCTGAACAGGTAGTTGTTGTTGTTTTTTTTAAATATAATTTATTTTTTTTGTAATGTGATTTATTCTTCTCAAGTTATGTCTACTTCAGTGCAAATAAAGGACTGTTAGAGTGTGTGCTGTGTGTTTTTCTGAAGCATGACAATCCTTTCCAACAACTATTTCCAGCTGTTTGTCACCTCTCTGCACTTTAGTCTTTCTTCTTGTTATGTCTGTGTTTGTCCACCAGGTGTCTCCGTCGGTTCACTTTCTCTGGGTGACACCTTTCCTTCCGTCCCTCTGCTCACTTTATTATTTCCTTTAAGTTCAGTTGTATTTAATCATTTTCTTACATTCAAAGTTAAATTGAATTTAATTGAATTGAAATTGAAAGAATTTATTGTCATTATACACAGTATAACGAGATTAAAAACAGCTCCATAAAAGTGTGTATGTACTTAGCAAATTATAAAAAAAATCCATGCAATACTATAACTATACAAATAATATAAATACACAGTTCAGGAGTGACATAGACTGACAGCCAGAGAATGACGGCACAGACAGTTTCAGCACCGACAATTTAAGCACAGACATGAGTTCAAGTCTCCCAGGAGCAATGGAATGAGCATAAACAGTAAGGGTAGTTTATGTCTAGAGGAAATGGGATCAGTGGTCAGTGCAGATATTTCACTACATATGTCAGCAGGCTCTCGATGGTGGAGCTGTAGAAGGTCACCAGCAGCTGGGTGTTTAGTTATTCCTTCCCGAGCACCCTTAGGAAGTGTAGCCGCTGCTGGGCCTTCTTGACTAGTGCCGTGGTGTTGACTGACCAGCAGAGGTCTGCGGAGATGTGGACGCAGAGACATTTGATGGACTCCACTCGGTCTACACATTCACTGCAGGGGGACAGTGCTGTTCTGCCTGAAGTCGAGGTGATGTTAAGTCTAAGGTTGTTTAATGCACACCATTCCCCCAGTTTCATGGCCTCATTACTGTAGGCCGCCTAATTTTCCCCCTGTAATCAGCCCCACCACTGTTGTGTCATCGGCAATTTGACTATGATGTTCTCTGGGTGGGGGGGGCTGCAGTCAGATGTGTAGAGGGAGTGGATCAGTGGGCTTAGTACACAGCCCTGGGGAGAGCTGGTGCTGAGAGCGTGAGGGGAAGAGTAGTAGGGGCCTAGTTTCACCCTCTGGGGTCTGTTGACCAGAAGATCCCTTATCCAAGAGCAAGTGGATGGCGGGAGCCGCAGGTTGGCTAACTTGATGATTAAAATGTCCAGTATTATTGTGTTAAAGGGTGAGTTGAAGTCAACAAAGAGCATTCTGACATAGCTCCCCTGTTTCTCCAGGTGACTCAGTGCTGCATGGAGAGCAAAGGCTATGGCGTCTTTGGTGGATCAGCTCAGCCTGAGCTTCCTGCTAATAAAAGCTAAGTGCAAAAGCACCAAAGAGGAAAAGTGCTTCACTTATTCATTAAAACATGGTCGAAGTCTGAATGAAGCATCAATAATTTCAGGAATTCTTATATTTTTATAACTGTATTTCTTTTTAATACAGTTTATTTTACAAAATCAGAATTAAGTCACTTACAGCATGTAATGCAACTCCATCCATTCATTTGACTGAATGAGTGGCTGCTGAAGTATAGAGACCTGTATCATTTAGTTTTTATATTTAGATATATAAATGATCAAGTCATCAAAAGTTTAATTTAAAAAATGACATTAAATCACATTACTCTAGATATAATAATGTGTTATTAGTATGAATATTAAATAATAGTTTAAATTTTTTTTCATTATATTTTCAAAATGGTCAAGGAATCAAAATTGTGTTTTAAAAGTTCAAACTTCAAAGACTGTAAATTTATGATAGAGAAAATCAATATTTAATATTGTTCAGATTTCTGAGACGGGAACCAGTTTTTCCTTCATGTAAGTACAGTTTGAATCAGTGCAATATTATTTTCACACATCAATGGACCACTGAACTTCTCAGCTTTTAAAATGTAAAGCCTCATTTAGAAACTACACATGATTTGGAAAACTACTGAATGAGTCAAGTTGTATGTAGTGCTTTGTGTTATCAAGTAGAGCAGAAAAGTGTTCTATAACAGCCAAACTATTTGTATATAAATGTCAGAGAACGAGTCTATTTGACTTTAATCAGCTCTGCAGTGGCTCCATAATCTAAAAGCCAAAGTCCAGCATAGAGCGGCTGAGTGAATGTGGTCTGGACTCTGTGGAGGAGAGTCATGGTTTCAGAGACGCTGTAGAAAGACAGAATACCTGCTCTGTGATCCAGTTACACTCCTACTCTGGAGGACCGAGGACCTGAGAGGACAGTTTGGACATTGTTCTGCCAGAATTTAAAACTGGTTGTGTCACAACGCAATGCCCAAGATTTTTTATTATATCCAAATAGACTTTCATATAGGCTCCCTGCTCTGGAGATATTGTTGTATGCAACTGCTACTTCAACTGCTCTCCCTCTTCACTTCACCTCCCAGTAACAACGTCCAGTCAGACTTTCTCTACTCAGGACCTGACATATTTTACTGAATCTGTCTGGATGATCAGAATAAGACTGTTGTTGGTTCATAAATGTTACTTTTCTGTTCCCCTCAGATAATAACAGACGTGTGTTTGCTGTGTTTGGATCCAGTGTGATTTCATGTGAATGTTTTAAGAATCCAGCTCTGGTCTTTGGCTCTGCTGGTGACAGTAAAACATCCTCTTCAGTGACTGTCAGTGAGATGTTTGTCCATTCCTCTCTCAGGATGTCCTGTAGTTTATCTCTGGTCTCTGACACAGCTGCTGTCACATCCTCAAAGTAGCTCAGAGGACGAATATTGATGCTGGATGAGTGTGTAGACTCACGTGTAGACTTTTTTCAACAAAGTAACTGTATTCTCAAGATCATCTTTTTAAACAGTAACTGTAACGGAATACAGTTACTCATATTCTGTATTTTAAATACGTGACAGTGTTACATGTATTCCGTTACTCCCTAACACTGTCAAAAAGTCCACTGCTTTCTCACCTAAGCATCTCCATTCCTCCACAGATGTGTCATGCCAAAAAGACAAAGCAGAACCCTCTGTCATGCTGCTTACACAGAGATTATATTAGAGATTAAACCTCAGGAAAAAAAAAACACTCAAAAGATTTTGAATAAAATCTTTATTTGAAGCATAATTCAATTCGATTTTGATTTATAGAGCGCCAAATCACAACAACAATCACAACTGCAAGGTAGACCCTGCAATAATACTTTAGGAACACATAATAAATAAAATAACTAAACAATGAAGCAACAGGCCGCGAGCATGCAGAATGTTAACTTTCATGAAATGTAAGACCAGAGTTTGCCTGATACAATTATAGGAATGAGGGAAAAAGGCCTAATAAACAATGGTGAGAGTTCTTCACTATTCTGCACAGAAAATACTGACTTTAAAATGGATCATCTTTTCATTCAAGCATTGCAGCGATTAATTTCTGCTCAGTGTGAGCTCACACACAGCTGTCCCACATTTTGAAAGTCTGAAAGTTTAACGTGTGTGAATTCTCATGTGCTTCTTTAAGCTGGTCCTCTGAATGAATATTTTCCCACAAATGTTGCAACCATGCGGTTTGTCACCTGTGTGAATTCGTACATGACGGGCCATATCTGATTTCTGACTGAATCGTTTCCCACATGTGCTACAAGGATACGGTTTCTCGCCTGTGTGAAATCTCATGTGTTTTATCACTCCCGAGATGTCAGAAAATCTTTTTCCACAGATACTACAACAACGTGGCTTCTCACCTGTGTGAATTCTTATATGTGTTCTCAATGATGATTTCTCAGTAAACTGTTTTCCACAAGTACTACAGGAATACGGCTTCTCACCGGTGTGAACTCTTATATGAGTTTTCAATGTTGAGTTCAGACGGAATTCTCTCCCACAAGTGCCACATGAATACGGCTTCTCGCCTGTGTGTGTTCTTACATGACGTTCCAAATCTGATTTGTGAATGAATTTTTTCCCACAGGTGATACAAGCATATGGCCTCTCACCAGTGTGAAGTCTTGTGTGGGTTTTCAATGTTGAGTTCAGACTGAAACTCTTCCCACACGTGCTGCAAGAATATGGTTTCTCCCCTGTGTGAATTCGCAGATGTGTCGTCAGGTGGTTTTTTTTGCGAAAAGTTTTTCCACAGGTGTCACACTTTAAAGACTTTTTTATTATGTCAGTTTTACTTTGACTCCCTGACACAGCAGTGTTGTCTGCTCTCTTATTGTAACTTCTCTTTCTGTAATGTCTCCTCTCCTTTAGCTCTGCATTTTTAGTAGATATTGAGTCCACATGCTGGCTTTCTTCCTGATCCCGGCTCTCTTCTTCAGGTGAGCTGTGAAAAAGGAGTTGCTTACTGTTTGGTTCTGGTTCCCTGTGGTCACTTTCCTCATAAGTCGGAGTCACCATGAATGAAGTATCAGCCTCCTGCTTCAGTCCAAGCTGCTCTCCCTCCTGCCTGCTGCACACTTCCTCCTGTTCCTCTTTAATCTGTGGAAGCTCTGGGTCCTCCCGGCCCAGACTGTAGTTCCTCTCCTGATTAAAGACCTGCTGGGTTGTGAGAACCTCCTCGTCCTTAAAGACATGCTGCTGGTGGAGGTCTGGAGAGACAAATGAAGAAAAGAAAAGACAACATATGTGAAATATAAATTACCGTCAATGTAGACAACAACAGATATAGGATTTTTGAGGATTTATCACAGTTAATTGTTGTATTATCAGACACAGACTGGATGTAATTTCTAACTTGACCTCATTCAGCTGCAGACTGATATCAGACTGACTCAGACTTATGGCACTATTTACGGGAGGTTTTAGTGACAGTGTTGGTGTGCTCATTTTGCAGAACAAAATTCAGTTAGCGTTGACTTATTGAATAAAACAAGCTGACAAAATTTAACTCCAAGGGCCATAATTTGCAGCTGAAAAAAGATGACAAATCACAATATACTCAGTATACTCAGTATATTGCAAAATGCTAAATATCACTATATCAAATCATGAGTGTCGTATTGTGATAGTATCATATTTTGGGGTGTCTGGTGATTCCCACCTCCCACCATTTTTTACTCTGAAAAACGTTGGATGTTAATTTGATGTCTTCATTGACAGGAGACCAAAGCCACTTAGAAATGAGATTATTTGCTTCTGTTTCATTAGTCAATGATGTTAGCAATTGCTAGTAAATAACAGTTAGCTCATGTGGTCCATGAGGTCAGCAGTGCTTTACTCACACTATACACACTGCAGATAGAGCTTCCGCCACTGCCCGGGGCACTTTCTGCTTGGCCTATCGGTACCTATCAACTGCTTCCGAAGTCCCACAGGCTAACAATGCCCGACAGGACTCCTTCTTTAGCTTGGTGGCTCCCTTCACCTCTGGTGTCCACCATTTGGTTCGGGGGTTACCACAACAACACGCACCTTGTGCCTTGTGGCCACAGCTCAGTGCAGTGGCTTCTGCAATGGATGTACTGCACATGATCCATGTGGACTCAATGTCCCCAGTCTCCCTCAGAATGCTGTTGAAGCTCTGCTGGACATGTGCATTGAAGATCTCGCGGACCAGGGCCTCTATCAGGAATTCCCAGCGCACCCTCACTATACGTTTAGGTGTGCCAAGTTTGTCCAACATCCCCCGCCACCTGATCCAACTGACCACCAGGTGGTGATCAGTTGACAACTCAGCCCCTCTCTTCTTGTCTCCAGAACATATGACCTTAGGTCTGGTTATACGATAATAAAATCGACCTGTGGCCTAAGGTGTCCTGGTGCCACGTACCTTTATAGACACCCTTATTCTTGAACATGGTGTTCATTATGGACAAACTGTGGTTTACATAAAAGTCCAATAACAAAACACAGCTCGGGTTCAGATCCAGGAGGCTGTTCCTTCCAGTCATACCCCTCCAGGTCTCACTGTTGTTGCCCACATAACCGTTGAAGTCTCCCAGGAGGACAACAGAGTCCCCAGGTGAACACCCTTAAGCACCCCACCCAGGAACTCCAAAAAGGCTGGGTATACTGAACCATCATTCAGCACATAAGCACAGACAACAGTCAGGACTTGTTCCCCAAACCTGAAGGCGTAGGGAACAAACCGTCTTGTCCAACTGGAGAAACCCCAGTGTACAGGCAGCAAGCGGAGAGGATATTAGGATACCCACCCCAGTCTGCCGCCTCTCACCAAGGGCAACGCCAGACTGAGACTGAGTCCAGCCCCTCTCCAGCAGACAAGTTCAAAAGCCAAAGCCGTGCACTGAGGTGAGTCCAACTATATCTACTCAGTACCTCTCAACCTAACAACCTCCTGTCCCACTAGAAAGGTGACTTTCCATGTCCCAATCACTAGTTTTGGTAGTTGGGGATAGGTCCGCTAGGGCAGGGGTCGGCAACCTGCGGCTCCGGAGCCGCATGCGGCTCTTTAGTCCTTATACTGCAGCTCCATGTGGTTTGGAAAAAACTAATTGGAAGATTATTGTGATCTTGAAATATAAAACTAAAATTATGTTATTATTTATCATCGCTCAAAATAAGTGTCACAAAATAAACCATACCCGCTGAAATACCGTGCATTTATCGAGACTTTCAACCCCAGGCAGGCCAAGTATGGATCTTTGGATCCACATACGAGCAGCTATTCTCCATGAACTATGGTAACAACAAACCCTGCTCACGCCTCATAGACGACAGCTTACTAGCGACTTCGTACAGCCCCAGTCTGCAGACACTGTGCGCAGAGGATCGGGAGCAGAAGTCCCATTGTCAACATACCACAGCAGACCCAATGATGTTTGCATGAACATGCTTTTTTCTTTATTGACCACTTTTCACACATGGTTGCTGTACCCACACAGCCAGCTGTAGTTTTGCAGCTCACAGCCCGACACACCAACACAACAGCAGAGAGAACACACACGGCAAATGCCGCTCAGGTGCGTCCGCCTCCCCTGCAGCGGCACTGCAGACCACGCCCTGCCACACACATTAACCATGTAAAATAAATATTTATGCAGATAATTTGCAAAATATTTATTTTTCATTTTTTTTAGCAGCATAGTGCTTTTTTCCAATTATTTTTAAAAGTCAGGTCAAGGCTCCGCTACAGGCTGCAAAATCCCAAAGCTGATATAAGGATGACGGCTCACTACAGTTTTTGTTTGCTATATGAATAATTTAAGTTCAGCTTTTTAATTCATTTAAAAGAGACCTTCAACTGGGTGTCTTTCCTTTTTGTTATATTTTTTAAGAGTTCAAAATGTGTTCATTGCATTAAAAAAATTTAATTTTCTCTGTAGCACTGCATGTATCTCATAAGCAACACACTTTAGTTGTTTATACAAAGCATAAAGGTAAAAAACATTAACAGTGTTATCTTCATTTTAGATGTCAAAAAGTATTTACAGCTCCCAGTGTTTTCTTTTCCATGGAAACTGGGTCCAAACAGCTCTTTGGGTGTTAAAGGTTGATGACCCCTGAGCTAGGGCCTCCGCTACTGGCCACTGCCCAACACACACTGCACCCAACCCCTACAGTGCCTTCTGCGAGTGGTGGGCCTACAGGCTGTTCGATTCTTATACAACGGTTGCAGGAGCTTGGTCTGCATAGCCAGCGACAAGTCGGACTTGTTTGCAGTGTGTGATGGACCGCCAGGGCTGCCTGTTGTCACAGATTCTCTTTATAGTTTTTATGGACAGAATTTCTAGGTGTAGCCAAGTGGTAGAAGGCTTTCACTTCGGTGGTCTCAGAATGCCATCGCCACTTTTCACAGATGATGTGGTTCTGTTGGCTTCATCTGGTGATGCCCTCCAGCTCGCATTGGAATGGTTCCATGGGCTGGACCAGGTGACCCTGAATCCTCCCTTAGTTATGCTGCAATAGACGTAGGCTGCCGGGGATTCCCATGATGCATTACGTTTTTCCTTTCCAGTCACCTTTCTCACTCACTATGTATTAACAGACCTCTCTGCATTGAATCATACTTGTTATTAACCTCTGTCTCTCTTCCACAGCATGTCTTTTATCCTGTCTTCCTTCTCTCACCCCAACCGGTCGCAGCAGATGGCCGCCCCTCCCTGAGCCTGGTTCTGCCGGAGGTTTCTTCCTGTTAAAAGGGAGTTTTTCCCTCCCACTTTCAACAAAGTTTTGCTCATAGGAGGTCATATGATTGTTGGGTTTTTCTCTGTATGTATTACTGTACGATCTACCTTACAATATAAAGCGCCCTGAGATAACTGTTGTTGTGATTTGGCGCTATATAAATAACACTGAATTGAATTGGAGTCTTGTTCACGAGTGATGGGAGAAGTGAATGGTAGATCAACAGATGGACTAGTGCTGTGAGTGCAGTGATGCAGACGCTGTACTGTTCCATCAGTACTCACTCATCGCGAGTTGAGTGTAAAAGCAAAGCTGTCAACTTACCGATAGATCTACGTCCCTACCCTCACCTACAGTCATGAGCTGTAGGCCTCCGAGCTATGCCCGGAAGAACAAGATTGCAGATACAAGTGGCAGAAATGGGCTTCCTCCAAAGGGTGGCTTGCTTCTCCCTTAGAGATAAGATGAGGAGTTTGGCCATCCGGGAGGAGCTCAGAGTAGAGCCGCAGCTCCAACGAGCCAGTTGAGGTGGTTCAGGCATCTGACAGGGATGCCTCCTGGGCTCCTCCTGGGTGAGGTGCTCTGGGCATATCCCACAGGAGGAGGCCTCGGGACAGACCCAGGGCACACTGGAGGGATTATATCTCGTGGCTGGCCTGGAAACGCCTTGGTGTTCCCCTGGACAAGCTAGAGGAGGTGGCTGGGGAGAGAGAGGTCTGGGCTTCTCTGCTTAGACTGCTGCCTCATTGATCCGGCCCCGGATGAGCGGAAGAAGATGAATGGATGTAGAAAAAGATGCATTCATGCTGCTTATTGCAGTTTGACCTTTAATTCCTGTGCTTCTAAAACTAAATGTAACTTTGAGCTCTGGTTAGGATCCTACATTACTCATATTCATTGTTATTAAGTCCATCACAGTTTTACATACCTACTCTTTGCAACTTTATCACAGGTTTCCAGATGGTCTTTAGCAGTCTGAGTCGCTCTTCCCCAGTCCAGACGATAATGCCTTCAGCCTCCTGCTTCAGTCCAAGCTGCTCTCCCTCCTGACTGCTGCAGAGCTCCTCCTGTTCCTCTTTAATCTGTGGAGGCTCTGGGTCCTCCTGGTCCAGACTGGAGTTCTTCTCTTGGTTAAAGACCTGCTGCTCATACAGACCCTCCTCTTCCTCATGTTGGAGGTCTTGAGGAACAAAGAACCACAAAAGGGTTATTAATCTTATAATATAAAAACACACAAAAACTGTTTACCATGGGTCCTACAAGGATAGAGTTTCTCACCTGTGTGAACTCTCTGGTGTTTAGTAAAGTTATATTTTTCGTGAAAAGTTTTTCCACAGACGTCACATTGAAAAGACTTTCCCCTTGTGCCAGTTTGACTCTGACTCATTGACACAGCAGTGTTGTCTACTCTCTTATTGCAACTTCTCTTTCTGTAACGTCTCCTGTTCTTCAGCTCTACATTTCTACTTGATCCTGAGTCCACATGTTGGCTTTCTTCACTTTCCTCATAAGCAGGCGTCACCATGAAGGTATCAGCCTCCTGTTTCAGTCCAAGCTGCTCTCCCTCCTGACTGCTGCAGAGCTCCTCCTGTTCCTCTTTAATCTGTGGAGGCTCTGGGTCCTCCTGGTCCAGACTGGAGTTCATCTCCTGCTGCTCATCCAGACCATCCTCCTCCTCACAGTCATTTTGTTGTGGGAGGTCTTGAGGGACAAATAAAAAGAAGGAAATGATCATTACTGTGATTACACAAAGCTATTTTTACAAAAGCATGTGTTAAAACCTGAAAATAGTTTTAGGTATTGGAGAGACGGCAACCACAGACTGCAATATGAGTGGTGTGCAGTGAGGCGTTGATCGTGTCAAATAAGGTGCTCCCTGGTGGCACACTCAGGTGCCATGAGATACTGCAGTAGTTTGGGGTATAATTTAAATGTATCAATGATGCAGAAATTTTCAGGTATTGATGATGCAGAAAATACATGAATTTTTTTTCATATTTGAAAAAATCAAGTTCAAAGTTTCAGATCTTAAATGTGCAATTCTCAAAAACAAGCAGCAACAACAAACCTGATCAGACACTTAAACATGGAAAAATAAAAATAAAAATGCTAACAAAAGAAAAGTGGCCAAAGCTAAAGTTTCCAGAACTCAGAGCCAACCATAAGCTAGCAGCCTCAGTGTAAGCAAAGCCTCAAAACAGTTAGGAGTGAAATTATAGAAACAAGGGGAAAAGAGAAAAGGCTGGATGTTGGATTTATACTGGTAATGACACCAGCATGTACCTGACATTTGTTTGTTCTGTAAATGTGCTACACCTACTTTTGTTTGCTAAGGAAGAATATGTCAGGTAAAGGTGGGTATACAGAAACTCATTTTCAGTTCATTATTTGTAACCTTTTCCAAAATTACAATTGTGGACTTTAATAATTTTGTGATGAAAACATGTTTTGTATTGAAGAAAAGTTTACTTTTGTTTGTAAATGCTGTCAATCAAAGCTCTTAGAAAGAAATTCAAACTTAGCAAAAATCTGAAAACTTGGAAATCCGAATGGGCCACAAGTTATAGACTATGTAGGCTGTAGAAACACAGACACACAGAAGACATTACAAAATTTAACCAAACCTATTATTAGACAACACTACAGTAATGAAAGCAGTATTATTGTGATTATGTACACAGCCTTGTATCTTTGCAGCTTTTAATTTTTTTGCATTTTGCTTTTTTTTGTTGTCATTTATCTTTTAGCTGAACCACTTCATTCAAGACTTAAAACTCTTTCTAAGGATTTTTCTGAAATGTCAGTGAAGAAAATGAATGGAAAATCCTTTTCTTCACTTAAAGTGAGTCCTTAAAAAAGACTCACTGCCATTGTTGCTTTTGTCAGCTTATGTTAAGAAAGCCTTTCTATTGAAACTATCATTTGCATTATTAACCCTTGTATGGTGTTCGGGTCTGTGAGACCCGTTTTCAGTTTTTCTCAAAAGAAAAATTAAACAATTAATTATTTTTTCAAACTGAAATTCATTGGCTTTGGCTTATTTTCTGTGAAGAACATAAATCCGAACTAATTTTCAATGACCTCATACTGTACCTCCCCCCACGCATTTACATTACATACAAGGTGTTCGGG